AGGGGCAGGCTTGTAGTGTACCCTTTGGTTGGTTGATGATGCATGGAGGGGATTGTAACCATGGCATTGAAACGATATACGATAAAATGAATGTAAAACTAATGTTCTCCCATGTAAACTATCACATAATTCACAATAAAACATTTAATAATAGTAATAATGTTTTTAAACAGATTTTTGAAATATAGGGATTAAAGAATCTTTATTGGTTTGTCCCTCATACCAAGAAATTAAAATAAATAATGCACTCCACGTGCATCTCAGTTAATCTTTTACCAAACTGGATGGTCGGAACCAGTTTATTCCCAGTTTATAGATGAGGAAACTGAGGTTTAAGGAAATGTAGTGATTTACCCATGGGCAGATAGCAAGAAGGTCTGACTTCAGGCTTTGCTGTAACCATCATTGTCCCATATGGTAGTATGGCCTTGGGCAAGTCAGTTCAAGGAAAGAGACCATGGTTTCCTCACCTCTTAACCGTGGTGTAATTCATTAGATGACTTCAGAGACTTATAACTCTGAATCTGTGAATGTGTTTGTGTAAGTAGGTGGATGGGGCAGGGTACAGGTATATGTCCCAATTAGACATGCATTCTGTCCAGGGCATCCTTGGAGCCCATGTTTGGCACCCACATCCTCCCAAGACTGATGTTTGCCCTCATCTTGCTTAAAAGCCACTGGCAGCCCTGAAAAGAGCAATAAAGGTTTCCTCACTTGTTTGTTTGTTCTTTAATCCATAGTTAACTCTCAGGGTGCTCAGCAAACATGTTTGGACATGTGTCTGTAGGTTGCCTTTGGTTTCAGTACCTTCCTAGAGGCTCCAAGGTCATCATTATGACCTTCTGCTTGATTGCCCCTTCTGTCCTAGTACAGGGAGATCAGATGGACTGGACAGGTGAATAGAGGGCTGGGAGTCATATGGTCCTCTGTCCCTAGGGTGTCCAGCCACCTAATGAACCTACAACGCTTCCCTTTCTTCTCTTGGCCTCCATGATGATTAAAACTCCCCCACTGATATACACACTGAGCTTTCCTCTTTACTGAAAGTTGTCCTTCCTGGGATCCCATGGTACTAATGGTGGTTTTTGTCTCCCTGTCCAGGTATGGAGAGAAGGGAAAAGCCATCCGGATTGAAAAGGTCATCTACACCGGGAAGGAGGGGAAGAGCTCACGTGGCTGCCCCATTGCAAAGTGGGTGAGTGTCGTGACCCCTTAGCAAGGTTGGGTTGCTCTTCCCCGTTAGCTCCTCAACTCAAATGGCTGAGCAGGCTTGCTACCCAGGGATGGGCATGTGAAAACCAGCTGTGATTACTACCCGGATATGGGACTTTTAAGAGCCTCTGTTGGTGCCTGTTAGGTCACCTCTGTGCCAACATCAACTCTGTCCTCATCTTGTCTAAGTGTAACCTCAGCTGTCCTGGGCTGCCTCATGCTGTCCCCATGGTGTTTAGGGCTGTGGAGTAGGAGAAGGGCAGGCTGGAGATGAGGTCATTTTCCGAGGTAACCCTTTGTCCCATGGGGACCACTTGACTTCTTTTCCTCTTTCATGTGCCCTGAAACTACCAGTGTTCCTGTCTCCTGCCTGAGGTCCAGGGGAGAAATGGAAGGCAGACATGCTGTGACCAGCCTCAGGAATTCTCTCAGGGTGGGGGTGGGGATGGACCACCAGGATTCCTGACTGCTTCTACCTTACTTCGGAGCCGTTGTCTTCTACAAGGCAGCCCAAGTGCCTCAGCAGGGGAAGTAAATGACCAAATACCATGCTGACCTTGTTCTTCCTTCCCACAGAGAAATCCTGAGTAGCTCAGCACTTAACTTCTACAGCATGAATAGCTTGGAGCAACAGAATTACCTGTGTGCCTAGCGCCACAGTGGGTGTGCAACAGGGAGAGTGTGCATGGCATGGAAGTTTCTGTCCCTGTGCTCAAACTGCTTGTAATTCCGAGTCCCGTGAAATAAAACTGTGTGACTCTTGAATGCGGGCAGTGTAAACTCTGAGAGGCCATCTCAGTGTTGCAGTTCAGGTGCAAGGGCTGTGAGTGGAGAGAAGACTGTTCCTGTTGGGTTTCCCAGAGAAGGTGGGCATGCGTGGGTCCATGACTATGGGTTATATTAAATGGGCTGAGGAATGGATAGAAGCATCCAGGTGAGTAATGGAGTCATGTGGGCAATGGAGTCATGTGGGAGACAGAGTGGCTAAGGGAACACACACTGGGCTGATTATGAATGAGTGAAGGTGGCAAGATGTCCTTGGTCAGCACATGTCCATCTGTGCACATGCCTGTTTTTACCTGGCATGTATAAACACATCTTTGTGTTTAGTGAAAGTAAGAGGGGGTCTCTAAACTTGAACTATCTCAGCTGGATTGTTAACAGTTTTCAGTCTGTTGCAGAATTGTATGTAACAACAGGAATCTGGAACTACCTAAAGCACTGGCAGGTATAATCTGCGTGTTGTCTGTGCTTTGTGACAGAAGACCATGTCTATCTGATGGGGCTGATCAGGGTGTAGGGTACAGTCTCCCCAGAGAAACCCTTCAAGGAAATGGCAGCTGCCCCACAGTGTACAGCTCTCTCCTTTCTCCTGCTAAGTCATGTAGTTGGTTAGGAATCCCAAAGGTATGGCCAGGAAGCTCAAGACCAGGTAAAGGTAAAGACTTCTCCAGCTAAGGTTGGGGACATCAGGAAAAGTTGAGAACAGCTAGGTACCTGAATGTGTGTTTCTAGAGTAAGGAATCAACCTTTTCTTTTAAATGTTTTACTATGCTTTCGGTGAAAACATATACAGAGCAAATCAATTTCCCGTTCAATAGTTTGTACATAAAGCATCCCGTGACATTGGTTGTATTCCCCACAATGTGTCCGTGCTCTCCCCATTTCCACCCTGTATCCCCATTTCCTTTTGTCTGGATTTTCTATACATCTTGCCTTCTCATCTTTGCTTTTGATCTTGCATAATTGATCTAAGGAACACAATCCTCTGGGGTGTTACTGTTTATTTTACAGTGTCCTGTGTATTGTTTGCTAAAAGATGGTCTCTGGGAATGGGGCATTAACTCTTGTCCAGGGCCTGTATGTCTCTGCTGGGGGCTGGGAAGAGCTGGTTTGCCTGGAGGCTACCAATGGGAGGGCAGGAGGACAGCTGTAGCTGGGAGGAAAGAAGGGCTGGTGGGTAAGGAATTCTGTGGACAAAGGCCCAGAGCACATGCAGCACGTTGAACTGAGCCCTGGTAGATGGTGCAGCTTTGAAAGAAAAGACCAAGTATAAGGGAATACGAAGTGATGGTGTTCCCAGCAAGTAGGGAAAGGCATGTATCTGAAGGAAGAAAGAAGGAAGAGAGGAAAGAAATGTTTGTTTTTATAAAGGGAAGATCAAGTAGGCGGTAGATCACAGACTATCATAGTGGCAAGAAATGTCAGTGCGAAGCTTTGCTTTTTTGATTTTTCCTTTCCTGCCTTCTCATTTTTTGTCATGGACTTCTCTTATTTTTTGGCCGCACAGTTGTCAGACATCCTATGTATTTTGGTGGGAGGGCTCTTCTAAAGACTTCTACCTCCTTCAGTAGTTGGCAAAGAGGTTGGGTATTCTTCTCCTGCCCCTGCCCCACATGGTGGACAAAGTCTCCTCTGGCTCTCCCCACCCCACCTGGTGTCCCATGTCTAGAGACTAAATTTTCTTTTCCAGCCAGGGTTCTTGTCTGTCTGCAGCCTAGGCCCCCAACCTTCAGACGAGTTCTAGACTTGACTTTCCGGGATCTTGGGAGACAGTGTGAAGGCACATCATGGGTGCTAGTAGCTGTCTTTGGAAATGATCTAGGAAAGCAATGGGCTGGCCCAGGGAGCTTCTGGGGATTGATCCTAAGGTAGCATGTACAGAATGTGAATGTACACTAAACCAAGCATGAGGATGGGAATGAGGCGGGTAGCAGCCAGCAGGCTCAGGATAAATGGAGGCAAACACTGCAGGCAGCCAAAACGGACTTTTAGAGGAAAAGCTCAGGGATGCTGTTGGGCCACTCTATAAAGAAGCCAACGATACCCATTGCAGCTGGTTGTACAGTGTTTGAACTTGCCAGCCTCCAGAATCTCGGGAGCCAATTCCTTAAAATCAATGTAACATTACAAAACAGTTGTCACCAAATCCATTCTGACTCGTGTGTGTCAGAGTGGAGCTGGGTAATGGAAGTACATCACTAGGCCTTCCTTCTGAGGTATCTCTAGGGGGACTCCACGTCCAGCCTTTCAGTTAGCAGTTGAGCATGTTATCCATTTGCGTCTTAACAGATTTCAGAGGCAGGTATTTGGTATGATTTGTTTTATGTGTCAGCTTGGGATAGGCCAGTTATTTAATCCAACACTATGGTTGCCAGGGCTTTCTTCTGCAGTGCCACTGGAGAAGCAGGTATTTGATGGACCATTGACTTGATTTATGTGGTAAACCCCAGGAGTTGGAATTCATCCCTATGGGTGAACATTATGGGTAGGCAGATTTTGGGTTTTGTTGGGTGTCAGTGCTGCTACTTGGTGGTGGTGGTGTTTGTTCAGTACTGTTGAGTTGGTTCAGACTGATAATGATTCTTTATAGGGTTCCTGAGTAACAACAGCTGGTGGGTTTGAACCACCGACCTTGCAGGTTCAAACCGACCTTGCGGGGAAGTGTTATCCTATAGCACCACTCCAGGACCCCACTATTTGTTTGGTGGTGGTGGTTGGTTATGTGCCATGGAGTTGGTCTGACTCAGCGACCCTGCATAGTGTTTCCGAGGCTGTAAAGCTTTACAGGAGCAGAAAGCCTCATCTTTCTCCCATGGAATGGTTGGTAGTTTCAAACTGCTGACCTTTGAGGTTAGCAGCCCAACTTATAATCACGACGCGACCAGAGCTCCTATTTGTGTAGTGCTCAGGAAATTCCTGCCCAGAAACTGGTGTGATGTCTAAGGTTCTGTGGCAGAGGATGAACCATCTATGTCTCTGGTGTGGGTGTGTGCATGCCTCTCGTTGGTTTTGTCTTCAGCACTTTAGTGCATTTTGTCCTGCTAAGTTCCTCCTTACGAGTGCTGTCAGGAAGTACCTCTCTATTGGTTTCTTACCCTTTTGGGGTGGACCCAGACAGGCCTGAGAAGATGTGGCCCCAGAGAGCCGCCTACCTGCATCCAATCACATATGTGTGTTTGGTGTACTCAGGAGCCCCAAAGGACATGGCACAAATTGTAGCTTTGACAGGTTGGGTCTGCATCTTACACATGTCCCAGAAGTACGATTAGCTGGTAAGCTCCCCGGGCTCTAAACGGACTCTCTGACAGTAGTGCTCTAAGAACCAGTCTTCATCACAGGGCGCATCCGTTTCTGCAGATGTGTACTGATGCCCGTGACGTGCCCAGCTCAGGGATAAGTAGTGAAGGGGAGGGGAGAAGAAGGGAAAGAATGCTCTCTGCCCCCACTGAGTCCCGTGGGGAAGCCATGAAGCCAGCCACACAGGGAGCCTCTGACACGGTGTAGTGATGTAACATAGTGTTTGTGTGCCCCAAACGCAATTTAACAAATAGCAGTGTAATGGATGCTTCTGTGCTGTAGCCCAGAGCAGGAACTCATGACCAGCCGTATGTTTTGTTTAGCATGCAAAGTATCCTTTTAAAGATTTGAATTTGAAGCTCATATTTTTAAAAAGGGAAATTTCATGTAAAAATCTAGACTTTTCCTTGCAAACTTGGGAGCGTTAGCTACACTAGACTCAGGAACCCATCAGGTAGTTAGTGGTGGGCAGAGAGAGGGTAAATGCTTTTCAGTTTTCCTTGGTCTATATCACTCACTAGTCTCATGTCTTTCTCAGTTTTTGATGCAGGCCCTCTGAGAATAGCTGTTCCCTGCACTGACTTAACGACCACATCTGTCTCCAGCTCAGTCATCTCCTGACCGCCACCAGTTTTTCAACTGGACTCATTAGAAATGCCCATTCAAATGTTACAAAGTACCTCAGTTTAGCGTGATTCCAGTTAGCTTGTCTGTAAGTGACACCCACTTCCTACCTAGTCTTCAGGTCCATCATACGTGTAAGTCATTTAAGACTTCTCTCTGCCTGTCTGCCTCCTTGCAGTCAGGTAATCCCAGTGCCACTTTCCTAGCCTCCATGTCTCTGGAATCCATTCCTTTTCCGATTCCATTCTCCATAGTGCATGGAGTTATATTGCCTGTGTGATGTTGTGAATTGTCTCCCAGCCGCTCTCCCAGTTCTGAAGCATGGCACTCTGGGTGGATCCCCCAGGCTTAGACCCCTTCACAGAGCCTGCTGCACAGTGGAGTCTGAGCCCTTTAGTGTGCTTTCAAAGCCCTTCCCAGTCTGTCCTGCCCACCTTTTCTCCCTCATCTGCCCCTCCCCAGATCCTGGGACCCTTTGTCCTGAGTTTCTGTGGGCCAGGATGATGTGTTAGGAATGGGTGAGTAAATGAGATGAGTGCCTAGGTATGGCAGGTCCTGTGGCGCTGAGCACACACAGATAGGCAGTACCTTCTCTGCACGTGATTTAGAACAACTTCAAAATATCTCAATGTACAAAGAGACTTGAAAAAGTTTTTTTAAGTTTCCTTGTCTTTTTTTTAAAAATGTTTTATTGTGAATTATGTGATAGTTTACATGGGAGAACATTAGTTTTACATTCATCCTATCATACATGGTTTCATTGGCATGGTTACAATCCCCTCCATGCATCATCAACCAAAAAAGGGTATATACCCTGCAAGCCTGCCCCCTGGTAGTCAGCACACAGCCTCTCTCCCTCTCTGAGTCTCAAGTCCCCAGCC